CCCCTGCGATTCATTAATAGCATAACACATTTTTATATCTTATCCTTGTGATTAAATTGAAATCCAATTAATTTAATCTGGAGATTGAAAATATATGTTCTCCCTAGAAACCTTTTTTTTTTTTTTTGGTGATTTTTTTCAGGCGCCAGTTTGCCTCACCAGTTGACTCTCACATTGTAGTGACTCTCATCCACTGCCATTGCCTTTGTCATGGAAATGATCGCCCCCTTGTGGAGAAAACATCCCATTACAATACTATTCTTTTGGGCAGGGGGCTGAAATTTAGGAAACGAGGAAAGCAGCTCACCTTTGTGGCAACATACGGTGCAGCATCTTTCTGACCAATAGTTCCCACAAGACTGGAAATATTGATGATGTTTCCTTGGCGCTCTCGTAGGTAAGGTAACACATACTGCAGAGAGAGCGAGACTTTCAGGTGGTGCAAAGATCCTCTATACGTAATGTTTCGATTACTCCAAGAGCTCAAACAGAAATGAAAAGTGTGAAAGGTTTATGTGTTATTAGTTAGTCAGACTGGCTTTGGCTAAAATCAATCAGTCAATGCCAAAATCCTGGAAACTCCAAAGTGATATCACAGGTGGTCTGTAGACACAACGAAAGGGTAGATTCCATGTTAGGGGTATTCTTGTGTACTTTTAAGACCACTGAAAACATTTTTTCCTATATTGTTTTCCCGCCTGTCGTTTTAAAATAAAGTTATTTTTTATTTCATTCATTCATCAGTGTTTAAATGTGTCACTTTAATCCTTGAGGACTGTCTTTGTTACCACAGAAGACAGAAATTATTTGCACCCAAAGCTGTGAAAACGTACTTTAGACGCCAAAAAGTAGCTGACGAGGTTCAGATTCAACAAGTCTCTGAACTCCTCTGCTGTGGTGTCGTCAGTGGGTTTATGAGGAGGGTCTGAAGAGGAAGATTTCAAACACAAAAACAGAAAGTAAGCAACACAGCCTTGTTGTCATGCCTCCTTGGAAGTAAAAAACAAAAAACAACACACACACAAAAGCATGTGTGACTCACGCCAGCCTGCGTTGTTGACCAGGCAGTCGATGTGACCAAACTGCTCCACTGTGACTGCGATCAGCCTCTGCAGAGACAAGAGGAACCGACAAATAACAAATGGATCCGCAGTGAATGCAGGAGTCGCTCTCTGAGTTCAGTGAGGTCATCACGTGATCATCATGTGATCATGTGACTCTTTCCATTTCAGACCACACACCCACAAAGCTGCACTTCACCTTTATGTCTTCTTCCTTGGAGATGTCACTTCTGACAAACTTGCACGAGCCTGGTCCGGTCTTGTTAAGCTCCGCCTCTAAAGCTTCACCTGCTGCACCTACGAGACACGTCTGATCATGCCGCAAAACACTGCAGCCTATTATTTTTCTTTTCATATATGCTGCCAAAAGTGAAATCGTGTAACTGTTTTACAAAGTAGCAGAATAAAAACAGCCTTACTAACTTTCTCTTCCACAAAACGCCACTTTGGCTCCGTTTTCCACTATAAAAGAACAACAAAAAACAAAAAGACGCAAAAATGTTCAGTGCGCCACTCCTCGCTGCACGCGCAAACTGCCAGCATAAATCAAGACATTTTCATACCAAACACTCTGACAATCCCTCTGCCAATCCCTTTGGATCCTCCTGTGACAACAGCCACTTTGTTGTAGTAGCGCAGGGACATTTTGTCTGCGGTTACGATGATAAATGTGACGCAAAGCGGCGCTGCTGTCAAACAGCGGACTAATAACGGTTAGTTCTTACAGCAGGACTCCTCTGTGTCGTCGCCGCCAGCAGAAACGATCAGCCGCTGTCAGCATGTTTGTTTGCAAAGTTCAAAGTGCCACAAAATCATGCGGTTTGCTTTGCTGCATTCAGGTGGACAGGGATAGTAGGAAATCTATACATTCACAATAAAAACTAGCTCTAGAGAGGGTTCTTGAACTTTTATAATAATTTCCTTTTTACTTCAACTGTGTCTGGACATCTGTGCTTGGGTGCCACTAACTTAGCCGCCCTAAGCTGATGTCAGCTTCCTTAGAAATCATCAGTCTGGACATGATTACTTTCGTTCAGTGAAAGGAAGCTCTTCCTGCTCCCTGTTATCAAGCACTTGCAGGAATGGGATCGTCTGATTGTTGGGGATCTCTCTCCAATACTATAGTGTCTTTACCTAACAGTATAATGAACCTGCTTTCCACTAAACGTGCTGATGCTATTATTCTAACGGTTATAAAGCAGATCTCCCATCTTTATAACATTTTGAATCATTGCCGGAAGCTGATTTACTCTGCAATGCTCAGGTGCCATTAAATATCTCAATGCTGCTTCAACTTAAAGATCAAGGAGACCTGGCCTTTTGTTAAAAGTATTTATTTTTGTATACTTAATATTAAACGTAATTATTTAATTTCTTCGGTATTTCACGCCTCACTGGTCAACGTATTCATGTGAAAGGGTGCTGGGTCGACTGGAGGTAAAAATCAGAGACACTAAACCAGGGGTGTCAAACTCCAGGCCTCGACGGCCGGTGTCCTGCAGGTTTTAGATCTCACCCTGAGCCAACACACCTGAATCAAGTGATCAGTTCATTACCAGGCCTCTGGAGAACATCTAACACCTGCAGGACACCGGCCCTCGAGGCCTGGAGTCCGACACCTGTGCACTAAACCTTTGAAGTTGGCTCAGGAAGGACATGTGACTTAAAACATGTGGATAAGGTAGAAGCTGAAATGAACTTTAATCTAATTTCCTCATTTTACATGGCAAAACATTTTGTGTTTTAAAAAACCCCATTTGGAAATCATTAAACTTCCTGATTTTTATTATTATTATTATTATTATTAATAATAATAATAATAATAATAATTTTAAGGAATATAGTGCTTTATTAACTTTTAAACTAACATTTGAGGCCATAAACTCACCAACTCACAATTTTTTTTAAAATTGGGCTTCTTTCTGCAACCTGTGGCGTCAGCCCCCTGCTGGCCATTACAAAGAATACAGTTTAAGACACACTGCTTCACATTTGCTTCACTTTTCAGACCTGGAAGCTACATCTATGTTTTTTTTATACAGAGCATAGCTTGCATGCTACCACACCCCTCACTATGCCAGTAAAGGATTCAGCACATCTCACACAGTTTAATAAAGTGAGCCAAAAATACCAGGATCTCTAAGCGCCTTCAGCTGCAGCTTGCAGTAAACAAGCCAGCAGGTTTTCCCACACATTCAGACCTACAATCCTCTGCACCAGCGACTCTTATTCAAAGTATCAAAATTTGATTCGGAGATTTGGAATGCGAAGAGCAAACTTTACAAACCCTCTGTGAAAATAAACACTTAAAAGCTGTAAATTACTTGAAGTATTTGAAGGCAACAGTACATTTCAGAAAAGTCTTCCCGCACACAGCGGAGATGTTTTGGTGTATAATTTAAGATGTGTCTAAAATAACCACAGAAACAAGTTTTATATTTAACATAAAGTGAGTAATGGTGTGGGCACATTTCATGACAGATTTATCTCTGCTCTGATCCAATTGGTGGATAATTCTGCACAAACCACAGTAACCTGCGAGTTTTAATTTATAGCTAAGCTGTAACAGCAAAAGAGGGAAAAAATAAATACCAACCAAATGTTTGTGGTATGATTCTAGAGTGTAAATCATGTTCATCAGTGCAAACACTGCTCCCTTATTTTATTTTTCATTCTCCTTTTTAAACTTCTTAGTTCAGGTACAGATCAGGTTACAAGTGTATGTAAGAATGCACAGCATGTTTAAGACAGACTGAGGGTCGTAAGAGGTTGAGTGAGGAGGCTTGTTGGAGTCAGAAAAAGTGGGCGAATAGGCAGCGTGCTCTTGGAAAAGGAGCAAGTCCAAGATTGAATTTCTGCCTAACAGCATTTCCCATGCTGAGAGCGAGAGACAAGGGTGCAAGTGCAGACAGTGAGTGAGCTAAAAACAAGCTTAACAATTTTAACTTTACCCAGGGTGGCAGATTAACACCACAGCAGCCCCTGAAGAAGCTCCCTCTATCTCCTCCCCTCACCTCCTAAATGTGACTCAAGGGAGAATCAGGAGGGGTTGCCTGGATGGTGTGATGATGGGTCGGCCCAGAAGGCACATGGAGGTGAAGGAACAGCAGGAGAGTCATGGTCACTCGCCTGCGGTTTGAAGCATTAGCCCGAAGCATTAGCTGCCAGTAGGGCAGGTGAAAGGAGGAGTTCAACTAAGGTGAGTTTACACTAACAGCATGTCTTGGAATTTGTGCATGCAGTATGAAATCAATCTAAACAAACGCACTGTATAGCATGTTTTAAGAAAAGTGGAGCTGACAGCAGTTTCTCTGACGGTCTATGGATTATAGACGGATGAAATCATCTTAAAATCCATTTTGATTTAACCTAGAAGTCAGTTCAGGGAAGGGCGTACAGGTGTAACATTTTCTGGTGTTACATTAAAGTCTAACAGTAGAAAAATATGTAAAAATGAAGACATTTGGTAAAAGAATCAACTCATAAATTTTTACTCATGTACAATTTATTTTTTATACACCTTTTATATACAGTTATTAAGATGTTGTAACTAACTGTAAAGGTTGTTGGAAGTGAACTTGTCAGGGTAACTTACATTTTTCTTCTTGCAGAACTTCTTGCAGCAAAAAGTAAAATATATATATATATTTTTAAAAAGGAACTATTCCAGGCAGAGACATGGACAATCATAAGGGGGGAGGTACAGATAGAGGTGGAGGCGAGACGAAAGATAAACAAAAAGCTGAGGAGGTCAGTGATGAAGATAAGCAGGCCAAAAACAAGCAGAACAAGTTGGAGAAAGAGAGCAGCAAGGAGCCGAGAAGGGAGAACCGCCGGCGGTGTCAGTGGGCTCTGACGGAGCGTCTGGCCATCAACGTGTCAGGGATGCGTTATGAGACCCAGCTGCGCACCCTCGCTCAGTTCCCAGACTCCCTGTTGGGTGACCCCCAGCGTCGAATTCGCTACTTCGACCCTCTTCGGAATGAAGTCTTCTTGGACAGAAACCGCATATGCTTTGACGCCATCCTCTACTTCTACCAGTCAGGTGGGAGGCTGCGGAGGCCCGCCAACATCCCCCTGGACATGTTCTTGGAGGAGCTGCGGTTCTACGAGCTCGGAGAGGAGATCATCGACCACTTCAAAGAGGATGAAGGCTTCGCCAAAGAGGAGGAAAGACCTCTACCTGAAAAAAAGTGGCAGCAGCAAATCTGGATGCTGTTTGAGTATCCGGAATCTTCCAGCGGAGCCCGGATCATCGCCATCATCAGTGTCATGGTCATTGTGGTCTCCATTCTCATCTTCTGCCTGGAGACCCTGCCCGAGTTCAGAAATGAAAAGGAGCGTAGGGAGGTGAGGATGCTCATATCTACAAAACCGGTATTCACAGGGCTGCACAAGGAAAGTTATGTCAGTTGCAATAACAGCATGAGTGAGGGAGTAGGCTGATGACAGGGTGCTTAGAGAACACAGCGTAGCACTGCAGGAAAGTGATGAGGTGAACAAATAAGCACAAGAAGTGCGGACAGATGTCACTTTGCAGCACAAGCTGAAAATGTTGTTATCTCCTGAAGCAACACTGAGTGAGAAATGGAGAGGAAAGCAAAGGCTGAGGAAAGAGAGAAAGTAAAGGAGACTTTCTGCTGAAATTTTTTTGGAGTTGCCACTTAATCTGATCCAGTTAGACCGAGAGGAAAGAAGTGCGAGATGAGGAGAGCAGTTAAACCACCAGTGGAAAAATATGAGGGATAAAAGAGCAGATAAAGCGGCTTGAGAGTTTTACTTAATAGTTGATTAATTTGTGGATGCTTTAAAAGTAGGAAGAAGCACTAGAGAGTGGAAGGACTTAGACGAAGAGAAGCCAGCATGAAAAGCAGGAAAGGAGATGAGCTTGTCTCAGGTTACTCCTCGGAGATCTAAAGGTGCTATATATAGAGGAAGGCCACCCCAAAGAGCCCATCAACACATAAACCAAAGCCCGTATTAATAAACACAGTGACTCATAGGCTACTCACTGAAAACGGCATGGAAAAGATGGAGACAGATCGGTTTTTCTGATGACTACGGCAAAATTAAATTTGTCTCGCATGTGCTCCGGCAGCCTGGAGACGAGATGGATTGTGGAGGTTCAGGTAGCAGATGCGCATGCTTCCAAAACACCACCACCGCTCCCTCGTTACGCCAGTAAACAGAGATAGATATGTTGATGTATGGAGGACAAAAACTGCCAAAACAATTAACAAATAGAAAAATAAATGAATATTCCGTGAAAGTTCTGAAGAATTTGGGGCCCTTTTCTTTACAGAGTTGCTTCACTTCATTGCGTGTTGTAAGAATTCATTTATGCACAGCTCTTTGAAGGTCTCGCCACAAGATTTTTAATTATGTTGACATCTGGACTTCGACTGGTCCATTGTAACATTTTGTTTCTTATATTTTCAGCCATTCTGTTTGCAGACCCAGATTATGTCCAGACTCCAGTGGTGGGTCTGTTATGTCTGGTATTCTATGGCAAATGCTAATCAGGCTCCACTGGTTGAGAAGTAGATGTCAGGCCCTCAGGCCATCTTCACAAAGTCTGTTACTGATTGTTTGGTCAGAGACATTTATACCAGTGGCCTGTTGGAGATTACTTTGTAGAGCTCTGGCAGCTTTCCTCCTGTTCCTCCTTGCACAAAGGAGCAGACACTGGTCCCACTGATGGGTTATGAACCTTTTTTTGCCCTGTCCAGCTCTCCAAAAGTAACTGCATGTTTCCTGGAATCTCCTCCATGATCTTGAGACTGTTCTGGGAGACAGCCAAATGCAAAACTAGTGAAAAGAAACGAGAAAAGATTAGAGGTGGAAAAGCTGTCAGTAGCCTCCACCACAGCTCCCAAACCATTCTTGTTTTGGGGGTTCTCTCATTGTTTCCCCTCTAGTGCACCTGTTGTTCATCCCATTACCACCAAAGCAGCTGAAACTGATTAACAACCTGCTCTGCTACTTAACCCTTTAAAACCGGTCGGAGCGGGCACGCTCTGTTTTGCGTAACTATTTTTAAATCCCGGTAGCTCTGCAACCACGTAAGCTAGCGCAATAATTTTTTTTGCATATGAAACCAGAGGAGTTGTACTTACATCTTATGCCATCAGCTTGTCCTCGGTCACAGTTTCCTTCC